CAAATAAAAGCAATAATTGTGGCTTTCTATTGAGTAAGAACATGTTTTCATGAACCACACAGCTTCCGGTCTTCCTATAACACGTGAGACTACCAATAGAAATGCCGTGAGACTACCAATAGAAATACATGGCTTTTAAAATCGTGCTGTGCAACACGAAAAAAAGGCGAAAATCGTGTTGGTGAACACGAATCAATAGATTAAAAATCCTGCTGGTGAACACGAAATGCCATGAAACTGGGTTGGCTAATGTAAACAAAGACCATATTACATCCAAAACACTGTTTGTTTCTGATGGAACATTTCTGATAGTGCCGTGTGTCCACATTTCCGATATTACATCATATCGGCTGCAAATCTGTATCAGCTCCGTTCCCCCGTTTCTAGAGATTTGGGTACGGAGGAAAAGAGAGGGTTTTGTTTTCTGACACTTTGTGAGTTCCCTGACACACTGGGGACACATGTTTATGTATAAAAGACATCAAAAAGTGCATTTTGCATGATAGTTCCCCTTTAAGTCAGTGTTACCCATTCACACACATTAATACAAAGGAGTCACAGGCCGACAATACAAGATCCCAGCTGCTCAACAGAAGCCATACAGTCCATTCAAATGCACTCGCAAACTGATGATCTTGTTTGTTGTAATTCTTCATGGTCTCTGATGGGGGCACTGTTGGATCATTGCTCGCTTTAGCTGCATATAATCTATGACTTTAACATTTTCAGCAGAGTGCAGGGAAGTGGAACGTGATGGGCTTGAAAAAAAAATCACTTCTCTGAAGGCTCAATCATTGGAGAGTTAGTGGCTGCAACGGTTGTCATTTTATTCCAATTAAAATCAAGGGGGGGGAAGTGTCCTCACTGAGACCCCTTTTAGCCTTTGTTGGCTCATAGACGCTGACTAAGGTACTTTAAAATTAGATCCAGTCTCCATGTCTTCGTCCACTATCTGTCTTCACTGATGATTATATAGAAGTGATACTTTGGCACATGCTATTATAGTTCATAATGTCGTTAAAAGCTGTCTTTTTGCTCCTGAGGGATGTATTAACTAGATTACACTGGCAAGGGAGCATTGATCCTGTTTTGAAAGTCTGCAAAAAGAGACACAAATCCACACGTGACATGAGTTTCTGACAGCCTGTATACCTGTCAGAAGATTCAGATCACACAGCAGTGGTCTGAAACGCTGTGTGTGTCTCTTTAACTGAGATCTGCAGGAAAGAGGACATGTCTCTGCATGAGACGCCCACCAGGGGAGATGAAATCAAGTGTTCAAAATGAGTGACATTGCTCCCCTCCTTAAAAGGAGGACATCTCCCTTTAAATGTATCTTCTCTCCAAGCTACAGATGGAACAAACATACACTTTTCATAACTTTTGCCATGCCAATCGATTAAGTAGAAATGTGAGAAAGGCGGACTGAAGTAAACAGAGAAGGTTATTTAACAGACCTTCCAAATCCCAATAGCAAGAAAAATAAAGTTCCATCAAGCAAAGGTCAACAGGTGTACCTTCAGGCTGTTAGTGGCTGTCAATTTCTTGACATCT